GGTGTCTTGACTATAGGGTGTCTTGACTTTAAGAACTGCCATGGGGTTAATACAGTAGGTACAAAATCCCTTCAAAAGAACACACACACACACACACACACACACACACACAGAGTATGATTCCACCCCCTTGGTAAGTGGTAAGAGAATAGTGGTTGGAGCAGACTGCTGAGCAGAGTTGTAAACTTCCCAATACCCTCCATTTTCAAAGAAAGATAAATTGCCTTTCTAAAAACGAACTACTTGCTAAATGTGAAATAAAGCAGTTCAGCTATATTGAGCTATATATGTTCAATATGTATCATCTGTTCAGCAGCACATGGCAATTATTGGAGGAAATCCTGTCTCGTAAAGATGTCAGATGTGGCGTCCCTTTTAGACCTCAGAATTTATTGCCCCGAGTACAAGAGTATTAGGTCTATTCTTGGATATTTAATGAGAACATCAGTCATACCTTGAGGCCATATGATATTTCACCTTCATCCTGCAATTTCCAAGTTTTAAAATTCAATGCGTTTGGTCTCTTTCAGTAGGTTGAGCGCAAGGATAAGACAATGTGATTTCTTCTTGGTGATGTTGGACCCAACTCCCAATGGCACCAGAAAGCTTGGTGAGGGACGGCAAGAGTCTTAGGGGGTGGTGGAAGGTGACTAGCCTTGTTTTAACGCCATAAACTTCTTTTAACTCAGCAGTCTGCTTGCAACATGGCAAAATAAGGGTTTTTCGCATTGGTACACAAGGCAGCTACAAATAAGTTGCAGGATAAACCCATTGTCAAAATTGGCTTAGAAGACTGAATGCAGTGACAGAAACAGGACTCATGGTTACAAGGGCAAGAGCCAAAAATGGAGTAGTGATAGAATCAGGAATGCAAAATATGCAGGCCAGAATACTTTCTGCCTTTGGCTATTGGAAGTGGAAAGCTTGTCAAGACTAACATTGGATGATCCAGCAAAACAAACAGGAGTGGAGGAATGGGGGGCGGAGGGGCGGTTCGTCCCGGGTGTCAGCACTGAGGGGGGTGACAGAATGCCGGGCGGCACTCACCGTGGGGCCTGCAGCGCGTTCCTGGGTACAGGACACGCATGCGGCCCCAGGCACCTAATCCGCTTGCTCCGCCGCTGAATACAAATAATATATTTTTTTCTGTGTGTTGGTTTGGCTTGAGGATGGAAACTCCTCCTGAATGAATGCATGAAATCATGATGAATAATTTCCAAGGCTTTTAATTTAGATTTGTTATCATGAATCAGTAATTATTTTTTAAAATAATATTATGAATCATCTTAAAAGGTAACCTTTTTTGTTTTGGTGTGCTTGCAGTTATTTCTGAAGTTCATGCAAATCTGCATACCAGGCCTTTTTTCAGGGGGAACTCACAGGAACTCAGTTCTGGCACCTCTCTGCTGGGTTTCAGCCCCTCTCAGGTGGGTGTCATTGCCATTCTAAGAGAATGAGGCAGGTGTTTGACGGTGAGTTCCAGCACCTGTTTTTTCTAGGGAAATAGCACTGCTGCGTACCATTAGGCTAATAGTTCACATCTGAAACCAGAGGAGGGGTGGCTAACCTGTGAGTTGGATATCTTCCACCAAGAGTCTTGGAGTGGGCCACAGAATGAGAGTGAATGGGATGGGGAAGGGAAGATAGATAGAGAGCAGGCAGAAGAGGAGATAAAGGGAGCTGTCAACTCATCTGCTGTATTCCACTTTGTGTGTCAGTCCTTCCTCTCTCTCGTGTGTGTGTCTTTGTGTATGTGTGTCTGCACATGCTTGAAAGAGCGGCCAACACACAATGTAAATTTGGGCCAAAAGAGAGCCATCTAATTTACTTGTACTTAGTAAACACATGGCGGGACGCGGGTGGCGCTGTGGGTAAAACCTCAGCGCCTAGGACTTGCTGATCGCATGGTCGGCGGTTCGAATCCCGCGGCGGGGTGCGCTCCCGTCATTCGGTCCCAGCGCCTGCCAACCTAGCAGTTCGAAAGCACCCCCGGGTGCAAGTAGATAAATAGGGACCGCATACCAGCGGGAAGGTAAACGGCGTTCCGTGTGCTGCACTGGCTCGCCAGATGCAGCTTGTCACGCTGGCCACGTGACCCGGAAGTGTCTGCGGACAGCGCTGGCTCCCGGCCTATAGAGTGAGATGAGCGCACAACCCTAGAGTCTGTCAAGACTGGCCCATATGGGCAGGGGTACCTTTACCTTTACCTTAGTAAACACATTAGGTGGAATGCAATGTAGCGCTCTTCAATAATTCTAGCTTGCCAGATGGAATGATGCCCCCACCCCCCTCCATGCTGCTCTGGGAGTTCTTCTGACCCCCAGAGCCAATTTTGTGTGTGTGTGTGAGGGGGAAAGGGTGGGGAGGGGGACACAAGCAGTTGTCTTTGTACAAAGCTTCCACTGATGGGACTGGTTAGATGACGCCTGCCCGTTGAAACTTCCATACTTTCTGAATCTACTTTACTTGGGCAACTTGCATTTTCTGGCATGTGCTTGATGCCTTCAGAATAGTAACAGTTTGGAAAGATCCTTTGATTTTAGTCTGTTTCCTGACATTCTGTGATTTTGAAATAAACCCTATTGTTTTCAGTGGGGCTTAAAAAGGACCCCTGACCATTGGGTCCAGTCGTGGCCAACTCTGGGGTTGCAGTGCTCATCTTGCTTTATTGGCTGAGGGAGCCGGCATACAGCTTCCAGGTCATGTGGCCAGCATGACTAAGCCACTTCTGGCAAACCAGAGCAGCACACGGAAACGTCGTTTACCTTCCCGCTGGCCTATTTATCTACTTACACTTTGACATGCTTTCGAATTGCTAGGTTGGCAGGAGCAGGGACCGAGCAATGGGAGCTCACCCCGTCGCGGGGATTCGAATCGCCGACCTTCTGATCAGCAAGTCCTAGGCTCCGTGGTTTAACCCACAGTGCCTTACTTCCTGATTAATGTGCTACAACCAGAATACTTTATGCTTTTAAATTTGTTAGAAAAAACCTTTAAAACACCCACTTTGAGAGTCTTTCACTGAGAAGCAGGATAAAAGTGTTTTATTAAATTTATAATATGAAAACTGCATCAGATTGGCATTTTCTTTCATCAGCTTAAACAAGCATCAGAGACTTGACGCAATCCTATGAGTTTCTTCATTCGGATATCACTGAACAAACGATTGTCATGAGAACACTGAAACTAAATGCTCATTTTATGGGGAAAGAGAAGGCTAATGAGAAATAATGCAGCCAAGATTTGGATCATTAGGTGCAGGTGTCAGCAGGTGCCTCAAAATTAGAAATAATCTGGGAGGGGAGAAGGAGGGGAGAATCTAAACATTGGTCTAACAGCGATTGAGAAGAATGTAGGCAGAAATCTACCGAATTACTTTTATGAGGTTAATAAATAAAATTTTCAAGACAGCTTGTAATTGGCAGTAAAGGAGATTCTAGAATAGAACACGGAACATCGCTTGACCTTCCCAGTGGGAGGAGTGATAACAGAATCATAAATAGCAGCTAATGCTGGAATACAGTTGAAAGTGTGGGCCATGTACTTGTATTGAATGAACTGGATGTAAATCCAAAAGCATGACAGTATCAAAAGAGTAGAAAAGCCTACATCTCTATCCAAGCTCAGACCTAAATCAAGTGTTGCATCTAAGGTGTAAAAAAACCCCACAGCATTTTGAGAAGGGATCAGTTGTGCTAGGATTTGTGTGGGGAATCTTTGGTTGCTGAAATACAGCTCCCATCATCCCTGGCCATGCTTGCTGGCACTGATGGGAGTTGTAGTTCATCATTGTCTGGAGGGCCAAGGGTTCCCCACTGCTGTACTAGTATGGTGACAGAGAACTTTAATCCACTTTGATTGCGGAAACCTAAATTTGTACTCTGCCCTCGAATCTGGCGTGCAATGCGGCGTGGCAGGAATCCAGAAAACTGATAATAAAGTTTAGTTGTGCCTCACAACTAAATTTTGTTGGTGGGATTCAAGTCCAGAACTGCAGATCAAGGGCAGATATAATCTCCTGAGACAGAACCTATGACATGATCAACAGATTTGACAACCAAGCCAGAACCAGGAGAATCATCAGATGAGGCCCATTCCAGCTTTCCAGGATGGTCCATTATGCAGGAAAGCAAATTCTATCAGTAAGGCAAGCAACTCTGGTGAGGCAAGCAGGGCTCTGGGAATCAGGGAAGAATGGAGAGTCAGACAAGAACAACAAAGAGGCCTTAACTGACCTTAAAAGCCCTGTACGGCTCAAGATCCCAATAACTTTCAGAGTTCCTCTCCTGATCTCAGCCCACCTGGACCCTTCATCTGAGGCTCTCCTCTGGGTGTCCCCTCAGAAGGAGGTTCAGAAGGTGGCTTCTCCACTTGTGGAATGCTCACCCCAATGAGGTCCACCAGACACCATCATTGACAAATTTTGTGCACCAGCTGAGAGCCTATCTCTTCTCCCAGGTGTTTGACAGATCATGATCAATGTACTGCTCTTTGCTTGATAACTGCTTGCTGATGCTGAAGTTCTGCTGTTTAAGCAGCTCCAAGAGATGTTCCTCATCCTCCTCTGGCTCCAGCTTTCTGGCAGTAATTCCAGCGCCTTCATGGCTAGTCCAGCTCTGTTGACCTCACCACACAAGCTCCTTATGCCTCACAGTACAGGCTCCTAGCAATCTCTGGCATCACCTTGCCACTGCCAGCCCTTGACTCAGGAACCATACCCAAAAAAACGCTCAAAAACTCCAAAAAATAGCTGGGTCCATAACCTGATGGACAGCGTCCTGCAGTAAATGAATGAATGAATGAATGAATGAATGAATGAATGAATGAATGAACACCATGCAGAGTCAAAGGTCCAAAAGGAAAAAAAACAAACTTTTACTAAAAGGCAAAGGCTTCTTACAAAAAACGTCAGAAAAAACGTCAGACACATGAGGTACAAACGAAAGTAAGAGAGAGCGAGAGAGCAGCTTGCTGAGCGCAGGAACTTATCTCTCCTGACTTGGCGTGACCTTGAGATAGTCAAAACAATATTTGCCTCAGAAATGAACCTTATAGAATCTTCCAGAATCTTCTAGCACTTTCCAATTTCTGCCCTCAAAGACTTTAGTCATGACAAGTTTATGGGTCACTGTAAATGGTTTTACTGCAAGGTCTTCTCTTTGTTTCTATGTAAATTCTTTGGGCTGTTAATTTTTCTAAGTTGCTTTGTAGTGAGCAAATAATTAAGTCAAAAAAATAATAATGAGCCCCATTCCCCAAGAGTTTGAGAGTCCTGAGGTAAAGCTGGCTGGAGTTTGCCCAGAGAATACTGCTGTCAGATTTCTTCAGGCATGAACAGCAAATTGGAGCAGATTCTTCTGAACTTTCACCCGCTGCCTTGGCCATTTATCTGCTTCTGGACTCAGTTAAAGTTGCACTGGAAATGAAGTGTCTACATACGGTGCCAAATCCATTGTGTTCTTTACAGTTGCTGTGGGGAGATGGAAGGAGAACAAGATTACCTCTGAAATACACATGCTGTCAAGGCTTTCACTCAACACTTGCGTGAACAACACTTAAAATGCTGTTTTAGGATTGGATATAAAGAGCTCTCTTTGTTGTTGTCATTGTTCTGATTAATTCACATTCAAGGTGAAATTCATATTTACTCAAGGACTGAAGGCAGAGGATATCATAGATGATATGTGAGAGACGAAGCCCTGAATTTCCTGTTTATAAGGATTGTAGAACTGGTGTGCACTCTGTGTATGTTCTGTAAGAATCCAGAATTAATTTACTTCCAAGACTTCTAAAACTGTTTGCTAAAACTGCCTGGCTTCTTTAACCAGAATATAAAAAACCTGCACTGAAGAAATTCTATTTCTATCACCCATCATTTCTTCTGATCCCCGTTTCTACCTCACAGGTTGCATCTGAAAATATTTGTCTTAAATGCTCAATAAAAATCTAGAAAGAGGAATTTAAAAAAATACATGATAGAATAATAATTATAATATGTAATCATAGAAAGCTTTAAATAAACGAGTAGCCTAAAGTTTATTCCATAGTGGAATACAAGGTTCATATTTATACAAATCATATCAAATAATCATGAGTGTTGCCAAATAAACTCATATTTAGTGGCAGTGTGCCCACCATGAGTTTGTTTGGTCATATAAAGTCTGCCTGTAGAGAAGGGCTGTAGGTCATTGGTTTAATACCTGGCCAGTCATTGGAGACAAAACTGAGCTGGGAACAATATCTTCACTTAGTATAATGCAGTTTCCTATGTTCCATGGTGGTTATGGCTGGTGGGCACCAGGTTGACTATCCCTGCTCTGACATAATAAGGGAACAGATGACAATGTACAGCCTCCCTCCTCCCCCAACATCAGTAAACTCAGCACCTCACTGGGCTAGACACTGGCTTCTTTAGGGACTGTTTGCACACACTTTTAAGCATATTTACTGAAATCCTTTTCTTCTTTGTTCTCCCCCTTCAAGATCATCGTTGGAGAAACTGCAGTGTTTTGCTTACAGATGGCCACACGGGATTTTGAAAACCAAGAAAAAACAATATTAACCGGAGACTGTTGCTATATAAACCCACTGGTGCGCAGGACTGTCAGATTTCTTGGTAAGACTATTATGCATTCTTTCCAGATCTTCATGTGTTACACAGGCTGTCCACCTGCCAATCATCCATTTCTGTTTAAAGGCATGCGCCCTGACACAGCACTTGCAAAGCCCTGATGACCAGCAGATTCTCAATGCTTGCAAAGTACTGTGTATAGGGTTTTGCAGATGATGCCAGTCAGCGATGCCTGCAAACCCCATTTAGTCCAGTTGGTTTTTCACCTGCCTCACATGTATATGATGCCCAGTGCAGGGCAGGTGAGTGTGGTTTCACCAAAACAATTTTGTGGGCCAAATGAGGTGGAATGAATTAGGTTTGCAGGTCAGAGGTTCTCTGCTGCTTCCTTTGGATTTGGATTTGATATCCCGCCTTTCACTCCCTTTAAGGAGTCTCAAAGCGGCTAACATTCTCCTTTCCCTTCCTCCCCCACAACAAACACTCTGTGAGGTGAGTGGGGCTGAGAGACTTCAAAGAAGTATGACTGGCCCAAGGTCACCCAGCAGCTGCATGTGGAGGAGCGGAGACACGAACCCGGTTACCCAGATTACGTGACTACCGCTCTTAACCACTACACCACACTGGCTCTTTGAGGTTTTTGTGTCCTTTCAGGATGAAATTCTGTTGCTAAATCTTCTACACCAGACTAGTCTTCAAAAAACTGCTTATTTTGTTACATCAGACAACCTAAAATTTCATAACTCTTACATTATTATTGGTGAGCACCATGTGCAAAGACATGGTCGGCCTTCCTTTCAGATTTGTCCTGTTCTCTTGAGATGCCCAATAGAGTGATGGAAAGCAAAGACAATGCCAGTCTTCACCCTAGATCAGGGTTTTCCAAACTTGGGTCTCCAGTTTTTGGACTACAACTCCCATCACCCCTAGCTAGCAGGACCAGTGGTCAGGGATGATGGGAATTGTAGTTCAAAAAACAGCTGAATACCCTGGTTTGGGAAAACTTTCCCTAGATGGTGGTTTTTGCCAACCTGTTGTTCACCAGATGTTTGGGACTACAACTCCCATCAGTCACCCAAAACTTCTGGAGGGCAACAAGCTGGTGAAGAATGACCTATGGTAATACTTTTCCCTCACCTTAATATTCATCTTGAGAACTACAAGGAAGCAAATAAATAAATAAAAGTAGGATGCCGCACACCATAGTCTTATAAACCCCAAAACGTAAAAATATGCAACAGTGAAAATGAATCCCTCCAAAAAGTGTAATTTTGAGGCATGTGAGAGAATGTTTTTTGTTTTGTTCCTGAAAACCTTTTCAGAATATTTTAAAAGAGAGGCAGTGATTTTCAACTTGGTATTCCCTGACAGATTTCTAAGGAACTTGATGAAACCCCCCTGAAAGAATTCGTCACATGATAACGCACCTGCTTTTTCTTTTCAGTAATGAGATGAATACATCTGTACTTGATGAACAATAAAGACCCAGGGCCTAATACATGCAGCTTTGATAATAAAAGATTCAAAATAAACATTCCTCAGTTTTGCTAACGTTTGGTGGGAGGAAGGACAAAAACACACCTAATGATGGACCTGCTTCCTCTAAGGGAAATGATTACCAACATTTCCCCCATTTCATCTATTTCCCCAAGCTTTCTTTGCCCTGCAGAGATTCTAGGACTTTATGTAAGCTATGCTAAAAAGTGGGGGTTGGTTTCCGGGTGGGAGTTGATCACGGTGAGGGTTTGCCAAGCATGCCTTCCTCTTAGCACGTTTCTCCCTTGCATCCTGAGTTTGAGTGTCTTCAAAGCCCATGACACCTTTGGTAAAGGCTGTTCTCCAACTGGAGCACTCGCAGGCCAGTGTTTCCTAGTTGTCAGTGTTTATTGACCTGACTAAGGCTTTCAGCACTGTAAATTGTAATGCCCTGTGGACTGTCCTTCTGAAAATTGGCTGCCCAGATAAATTTGTAAACATCATTCGGCTCCTCCATGATAATATGACAGCAACAATCTCAAAGTGGCTCTCAAAGTGAACCATTCACAGTGGGATCAGGTGTTAAACAGGGTTGTGTTATTGCCCCAACTCTATTCATTATTTTCATTGCCATGATCCTACACTTTGTCGAAGGGAAACTCCCCACTGGAGTAGAAATCATATATTGAACATATGGGAAGCTCTTCAGTCTGAGCAGGCTGAAAGCAAAGAGTAAGGTTACCAGTTACAGGTAGGTAGCTGTGTTGGTCTGCCATAGTCGAAACAAAATAAAAAAATTCCTTCCAGTAGCACCTTAGAGGCCAACTAAGTTTGTTATTGGTATGAGCTTTCGTGTACATGCAAGAAGAAGTGTGCATGCACACAAAAGCTCATACCGATAACAAATTTAGTTGGTCTCTAAGGTGCTGCTGGGAGGAATTTTTCTTATTTTGTTTCGAGTAAGGTTACTGTAACTTCTGTCATAGAGCTTCAGTATGCTGATGACAACGTAGTGTGCACACACTCAGAGGGTGACCCCCAAACCATCCTAAATACCCAAACTATATATTAGCATCGTTATTGCTCATGCATTCTGGATGGTACTTCCATGGAGAAATTGCCGTTGCTGTTTGAAGTAACGTTTGGTCAGCATTCCAGATTATGAACTCTTCCTTTTCCTCTTCCTTTTCTCCAGGCATTTATGCATTTGGACTTTTTGCAACGGACATCTTTGTAAATGCCGGGCAAGTGGTGACTGGGAATCTTGCGCCACATTTTATTGCACTTTGCAAACCCAACTACACCGCTCTTGGATGCCAGCAATTTACGCAGTTCATCAGTGGTGCAGAGGCTTGCTCTGGAAACCCAGATCTTATCATGAAAGCCAGAAAAACATTTCCTTCCAAAGAGGCAGCTCTGAGTGTATATGCAGCGACATATTTGGCCGTAAGTAAAGTAGACAGCCTCGCTCTGTGATGCTTCGACTGCTTCTTGAGCAACTACTGTACTGTATCTTGTTCTTCCTAGTTTATTTAAACTTGCTCTGCCTTAAAACACATGCCTCATGGGTCAGTGTCAGGGGTGTAGTGTGGGAGGTGCCAGGGGAGCCATGGCCTCGGGTGCACAATTGGGGGTGTGTGAACACCCCCCCACACACGCAGGGCCCCCCAGCACAGCCTGGACCAATGCTCCTCTCTGGGTTGGCAGACTGGGCTGCCCATTGCTCGGGTGGGCAGCTGGCTCAGTGCAACCCTATTTTGCTCTTATTGGTGTGAGCAGTGAGGGCTGGGCTGCTGCCCTCCTGGCACATGCACCCACTCACCCCAGGACACAGCAACCAACACTATGCTACTGGTCAGTTTTGCATTTCTTAAAAGTATGAAGACGCAGGTGGCGCTGTGGGTTAAACCACAGAGCCTAGGACTTGCCAATCAGAGGTTCAAATCCCCGTGATGGGGTGAGCTCCCATTGCTCGGTCTCAGGTCCTGCCCACCTAGCAGTTTGAAAGCATGTCAAAGGGCAAGTAGATAAATAGGTACCACTCTGGCGGGAAGGTAAACAGCATTTTTGTGTGCTGCTCTGGTTCACCAGAAGCGGCTTAGTCATGCTGGCCACATGACCCGGAAGCTGTATGCCAGCTCCCTCGGCTAATAAAGCGAGATGAGCACCGCAACCCCAGAGTCGGCCACGACTGGACCTAATGGTCAGAGGTCCTTTTACCTTTACCTTTAAAAGTATGAAATGCCTCTATTTTCTTTACCATGTGCAGGTGTTTGAAACAAGGGATTTTGGAGGGGGATGGGGAGAACAGATCATGGGGACCTGCCTCACCCCTCCTGTAGCGGCACATTAGAGTGGTTTGTTTGGCATTGCAGCCTATGAGAAGGGTAGAGTTCAACCTGTTTAGGCCAGGGATGGGCACAAGAAGCTGGGATAGCTCAGTTGGTAGAAGATGAGACTCTAAATCTCAGCGTCATGGGTTTGAGCCCTGTGTTGAGCAAAAAGATTGCAGAGGGTTGGAGTAAATGAACCTCGTGGTCCCAGATTGTGTACAGGTCTGCTCTAGATGAGGGATGCCCTCTATATATGTTTTGGAATACAATTCCCATAATTCCTGACTATTGGCCGAGCTGGCTGGGCTGATGGGAGTTGTAGTCCATGATACCTGGTGGACACAACAGTGACTACCCCTCATCTAGAGCATGTCTGCAGACAAACTGGGACCCAGCAGCCATGGCAACAGCTCTAAGAAGCGTTTCAGAGTTAAAATGTTAAAATGACTGTAAAATGATTGAAATGTATAGAACTGAAAATCATAATTATTATTATTATTATTATTATTATTATTATTATTATTATTATGGGGCGGGTCTGGGATAGTTCCAGGCAAATGCAAGACTCTTACAGTTTTGGACGTACTTAGCATTCCACCTAGGTTCATTTGTTCTTCATATGGACTAAAATAATTAACCAAAATACCCAAGGATCTGAGAAATGCATCCACTGTCAGATTGCGTTTGTCCCCAGATTAAGCAAGGGCATGTTTTAACCTATCAAATGGAATTTTCCTTCAGCTTCCCCATTAATGCTGGCACTGGAGTAGCAGAGAATAAGCGGGGGGGGAAAGCTAATTTCATGCCGCTTTCCCTAGTTTCTGCTGGCCTGGTTTTATGTGGAGTCCCAGCCACAATCTAAGTCTTCCACATGAGTGAAAAATAGGCCTTGGGAGGGCAATTTGACAACACTGATGTTGACATCTGTGGGTCTTTTTCAGCAGCCAGAAGAGCACGATCACATGTCGGGGACTCTCATATGTACTTTATTTAGGTTTGTAGGTTGCGAGTTGTACATTTGAATCAATTAGGAAATAAATGATGGAAAGCAGGCAAGGAGAAAAATTCCAGGCATGCTGACACAGTTCTGGGTAGGGAGCGAAACTGAAGCAATATCGAATGCCTCATTAAAATGAGTTAAAATCAAGTGTAACGAGAAACAACATAGCAAAAACTAAATAGTCTAGCTCTCAGAATGCCCTTTATACAAGAATACCTGTGCCGCTGCAACCGCGCTTATCTTGTCAAACTGTTTCCCTTACACTCAACAGCTTTCTCTGCTGATTATTTCAGGAATAATTCTACGGTGGAAACATTTTCCTTTTCCTGAGATCAAGTACAAATAAGAAATGAGTCAGATCTCACACAAAGCAGGCTGTGTCACACATTCTTTTGTGGCCCAAAGTCTTTTCACAAATTCTTGGATGTATGCCAATGAGAAATATTGAGAATTAAGATGGGAGAGAGAGAAATACCAAAAGCATAGGGAAGAGTTATTCCCCATAGTATATTCTCATTATTTTTTATTATTTTTTAAAGACTGAAAACTTATATAAAAGCTACTTAAAATAGTTTCTGCTTTCAAAAAGTTACTGGCATGCACTTGAGCACTTGTGCTGCAATTTCAGTGCCGGCAAAGCTTCAGATTTATGTCATTACTAGAAATACACATGGCTCATATCTACCAGGAGTCATGTGTGGTGAGTCCAATTCTGTGAATTCCCCTCCCAGCTGAGATCAATCATCTCTCCCCTGCTCCCCCGATTAAAGTTTATTATTAATTATATTTGCACATTGCCCTTCATCTGAAGTTCACAGAATAGTTCACAATATAAAGATTTTTTAATGTAAAATAATTTTAAGTAAAATTAAGTCTGCTTTTCTGTTGGATCCCATTGGTGTGTCTTCTGTAATCCCTGTTGCAAACTCAGTGGAGTATAAATCATATAAAGATCAAAGTGCATACAAGTGACTTAGAAAAAATAAATCTGTTAGCATCTAAAGCCTTGGTCAAACAGCCTGCACAACTTATGGTTCATGAGTCCAAAGGTAGTCACAAAGTACAGACCTGAGGAACTTCCTGGTTTTTTTTACTTCCTGCCAAGCATGCAGTAGTCCCCAAGACATGGGAGCTGGATTCATAGGTCACCAGGCTACATATTTGGGTAACGATTTATGTCCTGTCTTTGGAGGTTTGGAAATACTGCCATGGTTGCAGCGGTGCAACAGGTGGACCCGGTAATAATAGTAATAGTAATAGTAATAGTAATAATTTATTATTTGTACCCCACCCATCTGGCTGGGTTTCTCCAGCCACTCTGGGTGGCTTCCAACAAAGATTAAAAATACATTAAAATGCCACTCATTAAAAACTTCCCTGAACAGATGTCTTCTAAATGTCAGGTAGTTGTTTATCTCTTTGACATCTGGTGGGAGGGAGTTCCACAGGATGGGCGCCACTACCGAGAAGGCCCTCTGCCTGGTTCCCTTTATCTTTGCTTCTCGCATTGAGGGAACCGCCAGAAGGCCCTCAGCGCTGGACCTCAGCGTCTGGGCAGAACGATGGGGGTGGAGACGCTTCTTCAGGTATACTGGGCCAAGGCCATTTAGGGCTTTAAAGGTCAACACCAACACTTTGAATTGTGCTTGGAAATGTACTGGGAACCAATGTAGGTCTTTCAAGACTGGTGTTATGTGGTCTCGGCGGCCGCCCCCAGTCACCAGTCTAGCTGCCGCATTCTGGATTAATTGCAGTTTCCAGGTCACCTTCAAAGGTAGCCCCACGTAGAGCGCATTGCAGTAGCCCAAGCGGGAGATAACCAGAGCATGCACCACTCTGGCGAGACAGTCTGCGAGCAGGTAGGGTCTCAGCCTGTGTACCAGATGGAGTTGATAAACAGCTGCCTTGGATACAGAATTGACCTGCGCCTCCATGGACAGCTGTGAGTCCAAAATGACTCCCAGGCTGCACACCTGGTCCTTCAGGGGCACAGTTACCCCATTCAGAACCAGGGAGTCCTCTACACCAGCCTGCCCCCTGTCCCCCAGCCCCCAGGCTGGCAGAGGAGGGTGGAGGTAGTGTGGCTCACCTGGCTTCTCAGCTGTCGCCATTAACTGAGAGGGGAGAGGCAGTAGGCTGGTTGGTGCAATGCAGGTGCTGCGTTAGGAGTGTCCAATGGGCTCCTGTGCTACCCTGGTACTGCAGAAGCTGCAGCAGCTTCTTCACCATATTAATTTCATCGAGGGAATCCAGGTAAATAGCAGTGCCCCACCAGCTGCTGCTGGGTATGCCAGTTTACATACATGAATAGGGAGGAGGAAAATAACTTGGGTATCATCCAGGACTACTTTGCCAGCCCACCAGAAACATCCAGCGGGGGTGGGTGGGTGGGCAGGACTGTGGAACTTGAAGACCAGCATAGAGTCAAATTAATTTGAAACCCGTTATCATTATTATTACCGTATTTTTCCATGTATAAGACTAGTTCCCCCCTAAAACATAATGTCAAAAATTAGGGGGCGTCTTGTACATGGATACATCTCCCCCCATTTTCTTAAATCTGAGTCCCCCAAAATAGGGGGCATCTTATACATGGGGCATCTTATACATGGGGACATCTTCTAGACGGAAAAATACAGTAATTGTTACATTTGAATGCCACCCTTCATCTGAAGATCACAGCGTAGTTCACAACATAAAAATGAAAAACAAAATACATAATACATAAACACATTATAAAAACAAAAACAAGCCAATAACCCGCCTCCCACGATCCAATGCATGGCTACTCGCTGAGATCAATGGGACTGACTCCTAGCTAAGTGGGCGTCTAGGTTTTAAGATACAGATAATCATTAAGGCATCTGTTGTAACCTTTCCTCACAGGGCGAGGTTGCTTCACCCCCTTGATAATCTAAACCAGGAAAAACCATTTAGGCTAGTGACCAGCACTACATCTTACATTGGCTAATTCCATAAGTTCAATAACTGTTGAATGAAGAAACATTGCACGCTGTGTTGGGATCCAACAGTGACCTTATGAGGTGACCTTGCATATGGGTGCTGTGGGTTGGGAATATGGTGCCTCTGATCTCCCAAACAACAGCAGTGTAAGCATGGCCTTTTAGGCTGCTGGAGGCTGGGATTGAACAATGGAGAACAATGGAGAATGGTAGCCACTGTAATGAGTAGCGTTTTGGACATGGACTTGGGAGTTCAGGGTCAGACATCTGAAACTTGTAGGACACAGATGGAGAATGCATAGTCCTCCAGATGTTCCTCACCTGCATAGCAACCAGCATTTGGAGGGATGCAGGTTTTGGGCCACCATCTGCTACCCTAGCATTTCTCATGGTGGTTGTGAGGAGATGAAATGGTGAAAACTCAGGAAAGCAGCCCTGACCTCCTTGATGGAGGGTGGGAGAGAAAAGTACACAAATACCCAATTTTACTCACGTTCAGTTCTGTGCATTCTGCGCTCTTAACTGAGAGGAGTAGCCAATGTTATGTCTCACACCATTATGCCCATGTTAATTATCTCCAGGGTATCTTCTAGCTTTTAAATATCTTAGCATATTGTTTTATTAACAATAGGCTCCCCTTTTCCGCCACTGTTTAGTGTGGGTTGATGCTGCTATGACAACTTGGGACTTTCTCTCCTGCTGGATATGCAGCCTTCTACCAACAGCTTTTATATTGCCTGTTTGGAAAACTTCGTGGTTATTTATTTTATACTGTTGATGTTTTTTAACCAAGAATCTCCCAGGAAAGATGGGAATGTTGTAGAAGTTTAGGAAATTGCTTCCTTACCTTCTCTCATGCGTAGAACGCTCTAAATCCATTTATTTTGCACAGTTGGACACACTAGCAAAATAAATACACTATGGGGGAAAATCAAATTGGATATCATCATTTATGAAGAGTTTTATCCCCTCTCCTTTTACTACTTTCCAATGTGATACAATTTGTTCTGTTAGGGGTGTTGGAATTGGCATCAACTTGTAAATCTGTTTCAGTAAACACTACAGTGGTACCTCGCAAGACGAATGCCTCGCAAGACGAAAAACTCGCAAGACGAAAGGGTTTTTGGTTTTTTAGTTGCTTCGCAAGACGAATTTCCCTATGGGCTTGCTTCGCAAGACGAAAACGTCTTGCAAGTTTGTTTCCTTTTTCTTAAAACCGTTAATACAGTTGCGACTTGACTTCGAGGAGCCTTCGTGTGGTAGCCTTTTTTGAGGTTTTTGAAGACTTTGGTGATCTTTGAAGCTTTTCCAAAACTTTTCCGAAACCGTGCTTCGCAAGACGAAAAAACTCGCGGAACGAATTAATTTCGTCTTGCGAGGCACCACTGTACTTGTCTCTTACTTCATTTTCAACAGAAACCCAAAAGCCAAGTACAGTCATAACCCTTCACTATGGCTAGTGATAATCATGGTATGTTGGTTAAGACCCCCAACACCCAGTGGCTAAGTGATGAGATTTGGCTTCCCTTGGAGAACAATGAGCCCAGCAATTGCCACCTCTGGGCATTTCCTGGAGTGTATACATGTCTTCAAGCTTGGGGAGGTGGCAGGGGAAAGAGTCCTTTTTCCAAGGGCAAAATGATGTTGGAATGGAGGAACTTGGCAAAGGTTTTGATTTTATATGAATCATAAAGCTAGGTATATTCCCTGATCTGTCAAATCGAAAGGATACATTCAGGCATAATATTTGTAACAGTTAACAACTTTCAAGATGTGGCCCCCCCTGCAATTTTCATAACAGTTTGGTTCTGTTATTGTTTGTATGTTCATGTGTTAGCTTGTAGATATATGGTAAAATAAAATAAATAAAGGAACAACCAGGCTAGCATGGAAAGGTCGGCGAGAGGGCCATTTTGGGTTTGGTGGGCCACAGGTTGTAGCAAGCTTGCCCTTGACACATTCCTTGCAAATAGGGCTGCTGGCTTTCACTTTGGTGATCGTGCTGGTCCTTTTGGTAGCTCTCAGGCAGGATGAAAGGATTCGCCCACAGCATCATTTGCAATGACTTCTCCCCTGGGCCCCCGCACTGCTCATTCACACAGGTTGAGAGATGGGAGAGAAGGGGAAGGAACTGTTGAGGCAGCGATGGGGACTCAGAAATTTCTCCAAGCTAGTCTCTTGTCTTCAGGTCATGCCCTTCCTCAGCCCCGCTTCCTCAGATGTTTTTGCCTTGGCTGGAAGGTGTGCTTGAACTCTTGACAATGCTTCTTGTTTCCCTGGATGGATGATGGGGTGTGTGACTGTGTGCAGAAACTACTGTGCAAAGGTAAAATTTACATTCCTTTACCCGCCTACTTTTCTTTCTGGTCCCACCCACTACAGTGGTACCTCGGGTTAAGAATTTAATTCGTTCTGGAGGTCCGTTCTTAACCTGAAATTGTTCTTAACCTGAGGTACCACTTTAGCTAATGGGTCCTTGCGCTGCCGCCATGCAATTTCTGTTCTCTTCCTGTAGCAAAGTTCTTAACCTGAGGTACTATTTCTGGGTTAGCAGAGTCTGTAACCTGAAGCGTCTGTAACCTGAAGCGTCTGTAACCTGAGGTACCACTGTACTGGCATTTGGCCCTCAGAAGGTTGGCCAGAAGGGAATGTGGCCCTTGGTTCCCCATCCCTAAATTTAGAGCGGCAGAAGGAAGGAGCCACAACTGCAGGCCCTCTTCCTGTTAGAGCATTGTAAGGAGCAGAAAGAAGGTTCAGGTTGACACCTGAGATTCCTGCTTCTAATTTGCCTCTGTTTTAATAAAACAATGAAAGGGAACAGGACACAAGGACACACACGTTGTTTCCCCCTTCCCTACCAGTTCTGCTTGTTGCTCGCATTCTTTGATAAAGGAGCAAGACTGCTTGACCTATTAACTGCTTCTCTGACTATGAAAAATGGCCGAGGCTGCGATTCTGGACAAGAGCAGAAGGCGCGACACTAATTGGCTAACACCGCTGAGCGATTGATCTCCTGCCCTCCAATTCCAGTTGTGCATGAAGTCCTTCTGCATACTTCCCCTCATCTCACATATGTGTGGGGGCACTGCAGGAGGCTGCAGTTTCAGCGGTATGATGGTGATGCTGCTTTCTCCCTCGCTTCCAGATGGCACAGTCTTTCAGCTCACTCCCCCCCCCACACCTCTCTGCTTCCCAACGGCTTGCTCTGAGGCTGGGTGATGAATATCTGCTGGCTGAATATCAATGCAAACAAGGAGGAGGTGGTCCCGTAGAAAACATTTGGAGGAAAGGCCATCATGGGGACTGCTTGGAAGTCGGGCTATACATTAAAGATAGATAGATACGATAGATGATAGATAGATATAGATAGATAGATGGTAGATGATATAGATGATGATAGATTAGATAGATAGATAGATAGATAGATAGATAGATAGATAGATAGATAGATGATAGATAGATAGATAGATAGATAGATGATAGATAGATAGATAGATGATAGATAGATAGATATAGATAGATGATAGATGAGAGATAGATGATAGATAGATATAGACGATAGATAGATAGATAGATAGATAGATAGATAGATAGATAGATAGATGATAGATAGATAGATAGATAGATAGATGATAGATAGATAGATAGATAGATAGATAGATGATAGATAGATAGATAGATGATAGATAGATAGATAGATAGATGATAGAGATAGATGATTGATAGATAGATAGATAGATAGATGATAGAGATAGATGATAGATATAGATAGATGATAGATAGATAGATAGATAGATGATAGATAGATAGATAGATGATAGATAGATAGATAGATAGATAGATAGATAGATGATAGATATAGATAGATATAGATAGATGATAGATGATTAGATGATAGATATAGGCATTTTACTTGCTTGATGTACAGTGGTACCTTGGGTTACATACACTTCAGGTTGCAGACGCTTCAGGTTACAGACTTGGGGGCCTGCCTGATGCCTCCGTCTCCCTGGCAGTATCCCAACACTTATTTGTAGCTCTGTTATCAAAACAGCAGCTGACCATCCAAGTTATCTGTTGTCAAGTTATCAATAAAAGTGTCACTTGGATTTTAAAGTGCATTTCCCTTCTGGTGTTTTAAAAACAGCAATGGTTTCACTTGGGAGGTTGGCAGCAAGGTTGGACACCCCACCTTGGCTCAATCCAGAAGAAGAAATGAGAGCTAGGAAATTTTGGTCACCTCTCTCTGAGTGTGGAAGCTCCAGAGGTTGCAGAATTTGGTCCCCAAATCCATTCCTAGCAGCGCCACTGTGCTAAATCATAACTAACATTAACCACAGTTTTGTGTAAGGTTTTTATGTGGTGAGCAACCATGGTTAATGGACTATAGAAGCGAAAGGGGGAAGAGGGAAGTACAGGAATCCACATTGCCGCTCGTCCTTTTAATGTTCAACTTCGGTTGAGCATTACATGCAAACACAGCCATTGTCGTTTACTGTTTTTCTGACGGTAATACTGCTTGCGTGGTCAGAAATCTAAAATCTGAGTTGCGCGCATTTCATAAATACTTCATTAAATGAAAAACTAAATTGATAATGAAGCATCTGAGCCTCTGGCATACAGGTACTTTTTTGAGATACAAAGCGAAGCGACGTTCATTATTCATTAGTAGTGTTTGTTTTCTTACCTTGATGTGGGCTCTGCGTTGCATGAGAAAAGTTCAGCTCATTGTTGTCTTCTGGTAATCTGTGTAATAAACAAATATAATTAGGCCGGGTCAGTTTCAGGGAGATTTATCACTTGCCTTGCAGTGAAGTTTTATCCTTTAAGGTACTAGGAAGATGTAAATCTTGATGCAGCATTTGGGACTTCAGTCTTCCTCAAGGTTAAGGCAAATCTGACAGCTTTGGTTTCTCTCATTTTTGCATTTCCCCAGTCTTTAATTTGGTTCTCCACATTTCGGCATCAGATTGCCTTAAAATGAAAAGTCCTCGTGAAAATTCTGCAGCATTTTAGTGTGAATTATTTTGCATGCAGTTTTGTCTACTATACGCATTTTTGCAAGCAAGCTCTCTAACCATAATTCATTTTTGTATGCTTATTTTCACTAGGATATGCAGTTCAGTGCGCATTTCCCCCTAATATATGTCTTTTTATACAATTATCTGGCTGGAGAACTGCATTGCAAGATTTGGAAGGGGGCACATTCTGAAGAATAACTGCATCTTGGTTTGTGTATTGTTTCAGGAAGTGCAAATTATGTAGGATTGCATTAAGATAGGTACCAAACCAAAACTCTTCCCCCATTCCTAGTCTCTGCTAGTAGTCCTAGTCCAACCAGTAGAGGTTGGACACAATTTGAAGGGGGGAAGTGGAAGGTGAGAGGAATATAGGAAGCTGTCTTATTCTGAGTCAGACCATCTATCTCAGTTTTATCTACATTGACTGGGAGCTTAGCTCTCAGGGTACCAGGCATGAGTCTTTACAAGTCCTACCTGGAGACATATCAGGGATTGAATTTGGGGCCTTCAGCAGGTACACCACTGAGCTATGGTGCTTCTCCCCTTGATACCCCAACAATTTCTCTCTCAACCACAGCAAGCATGAACCTCATATTCTTAGTAGAGTCAAGCAGTACATACCTTTCCTCTGCTGATTTTTTAAATTATTTTTTTAAATTAAATTTGTGTATCACAACATAAAAAAAATTACAGTGGTACCTCAGGTTAAGTACTTAATTCGTTCCGGAGGTCAGTACTTAACCTGAAACTGTTCTTAACCTGAAACACCACTTTAGCTAACGGGGCCTCCCGCTGCCGCCACACCACCGGAGCCCGATTTCTGTTCTCATCCTGAAGCAAAGTTCTTAACCTGAAGCACTATTTCTGGGTTAGTGAAGTCTGTAACCTGAAGTGTATGTAACCTGAAGCGTATGTAACCCGAGGTACCACTGTATATAAAATGACAAAATACATGATAAAAGCAAGAACAAAACCCACAAACCAGTAAACCTACCCCCCCCCCACAAAAAATAAAAAGTACATTTAAAAGGGGTAGAAGATGTTAATCAGCCCAGACACTGGGGCCCAGCTCTAAGGGCCTTCTGGCAGTTCCCTCACTGTGAGAAGTGAGGTTACAGGGAAGCAGGCAGAGGGCCTTCTCGGTAGTGGCACCTGCCCTGTGGAACGCCCTCCCATCAGATGTCAAGGAAATAAGTAACTACACAACCTTTAGAAGACATCTGAAGGTAGCACTGTAGAGGCTGGTTTTTAATGTTTTATTATGCCTTGTATATGCTGGAAGCTGCCCAGAGTGGCTGGGGCAACTGAATAAGATGGACAGGGTACAAATAATAAAATTATTATTATTATTAAAGGCCTGGTTGAAGAGCAGCATTTCCATCTGGCGCCGAAAGTTGTATAATGAAGGTGCCAGCTTGCCCCTTCATCCTTCTAAATCATGCCTGCCTTTGCCACTTTTCAAGGTATTAGGTGGATACCCAATTCGTATTCTCTCATCTCCCACCAGATGCCTAGTCCAACCTTTAGGCTGCTTAAATCCTGTGGAAGTCGGTCGGATTTAAACAGCTTGGCTGTGCAGAAGCTTACAGCTTTTGTTTAGAGTAAAAGGAAGGAGAGGAGAAAACAAGCTTAGCTGTCCTACTTGCAACCCTGAAGTTGTATCTGCAGAGTCACAATAATACAGTGATTACTATATTGATCAAGAGCCCAAGATTTTTATTTTTATTTAATGAAAAACTAAGCCTGCAGTCACAAGAATTGGCTGTTCAGTTCGAAACCTGTGAAATTCAGCTCTTCCTCCTTCTACGTTTATTTACACCCACTTTCTTGACCTGCCCTGTCTCTTGTACTTATTATCTTTTTCCTTGGCAGGAACTGGATATAAAGGCTTTCAGGAAAGGAAGTTCAGAGTGTTGTTCATCCTTACATTGTGCTCAGCCTGCCCCGAAAGTCTTTGTGAATTTTGATGAAACTGATGAGGACTCAGCTATACAGCTGCAAATAAAACGTTTTGAATGTGTTGTAAAGTGCAGTACACAATTGTGCCATTAGATGGCAAAAGTGAGCTATGCCAAATTCAATATACCTTTCAAAACTTTTTTTAAAAAAGCATTTTCACAGCGTTTTTTTATTTGTGTGTAGATTTAACCTCAGAGCAGCTAAAACAGAGATTTTAAGTGTGTGTATGCATGTGTCTGTATAAAACAGGAAGGCTGTAGATTAAGACTAGATATTACAGTTACAAGACTCTTGATTGAAACCAGCAGCCCCATATCTCCTCCCCTCGCAAAGGCAAGATGCTCAGAATGTGATGGGATGCCCTCATGCTGCAAAGTTGCCTTGCTGATGATCTGCTTCATTGGTGACCATTTGTGGATAAGGAAGTGTAACAGGTACCCCTGCCGGTACGGGCTAGTGTTGACAGACTCTAGGGTTGTGCGCTCATCTCACTCTATAGGCTGGGAGCCAGCGCTGTCTGCAGACACTTCCGGGTCACGTGGCCAGCATGACAAAGCTACTCTGGCGAGCCTGCACCAGCGCAGCACACGGAAACGCCGTTTACCTTCCCGCTAGAAAGCGGTCCCTATTTATCTACTTGCACCCAGGGGTGCTTTCGAACTGCTAGGTTGGCAGGCGCTGGGACCGAGCGACGGGAGCGCACCCCGCCGCGGGGATTCAAACCACCGACCTCTCGATTGGCAAGTCCTAGGCACTGAGGCTTTTACCCACAGCGCCACCCGCGTCCCTAAGTGTAACAGTACGAGGGTGTTAAACCTTGAGTATCACTAGGTGTTACGGAAAAGGAAGGGAGTGGGTTTCTGTTTTCAGCAGCAGCCCCCAGCCCACATCTGCCGTAACTTCTAGCTCCAGCCTAATGCCTGCTTCAGAATTCTTGCTAGTTTTGAAATCAGTCCGGAATTGCCTTTGCATGTTTGGTACACCCTTTTTCTGAAGTGGCTGCTATTGCTGGGCAATATAACAGCGCATTGTTTGAAATAGGTTTGAAGTTCAGGTCGCAACAACGGTTTCAGAATTTCTGAGCTGGCAATATATTAGCTCCCCAGCCACTTCCAGCACAGTGCATTTTACTTCTGGACAGTGCTCCCCCCCCCAAAAAAAAATGTTTAGGGGTACTCTCATTTTCCTACTCATATTGAAATACTGTCCCTCAAAGATGCTAAACTTAGATTCACAATCTTAGATTCACAATCTTAGATTCACATTTAGATGTTTGAGGGTATGCGTACTCCTGTGTCCCCCCAGAAAAAAGCATTTATTTAACAATATAAAAGCATATATTAAACACTCTCTCTCTCTCTCTCTCTCTCTCTCTCTCTCTCTATATATATATATATATATATATAAACACTTTTTTAAAGAAAAAAGCCCTCTAAGCATTTTACATAACATAAGAGAAAAAAATCATAAGAAATTGCTGATACAGTCAACAGATTTTAAGAAGCTAAAAGATATAAGAAAAGCATCATAATATAAAACCAAGTGTTTTTTTTAAAAAAACCAACCAAATATAATTTTTTCAACATGTATCTGGGGAGGCTTGCCTAAACATGGAAGCTTTTAACAGGTGTTGATCACAGTACAGTAAAGTCAGTTCCAGAAAATAGGCGCCGCCACACCAAAAGATTGATTTGTCGCAACTGCAGAAATGAACATTATATGGAACTTGTTATAGTGCCAGTTCTGCAGATGGAAGCATATATTGAACATGGAAGATAAAACTTTGTGGTTTTTCAGAAATAAAATAATACGAGAGATTTTTTATCATCATCATCATCATCATCATCATAGAACTAAATACGGTGGTACCTCAGGTTACAGACGCTTCAGGTTATAGACGCTTCAGGTTACAGACTCTGCTAACCCAGAAATAGTACCTCCGTTTAAGAAGTTTGCTTCAGGATGAGAACAGAAATCATGCTCCGGTGGCGTGGCAGCAGCAGAGGCCCCATTAGCTAAAGTGGTGCTTCAGGTTAAGAACAGTTTCAGGTTAAGAGCGGACCTCCGGAATGAATTAAGTTCTTAAGCACTACGAACCTGTAATATCAAAGTTTCAAATGCATTTTTCTAGTTATGATTTCCACAAGCCGTTTTCTCAGCAAGATTCGTTTACCTTTCATCTTCCAGTATGTGTAACGGTGAAGATGATTATTCCTGATCTCTAGTGGAGTTTACCACAAATTACCATGTTATTGCATAATTATCACAACCTATTGTTTTGTCTAACTTTACAAAAAAGATTTAATATGTCTAGGGTGAAAGAATGAATTTATTTATTACCATGCCATGGGCTGGAAGATGATCATTTATTGTGCATTTATCATCATAAATCATCATATTTGCTAAATCGGACCGTTTGACCCAATTATATAAAATTTGGTTTTTTGTGCTTTGTTTTTTCTTATTTAAGAATTTTGAATTTTATTTAGTGTGGTTTTTTTAAAAAATAAAACCCCTCATGAATGTATGTTTGTATGTTTGTGCATATAATTTTCCAAGCAATTTCAGCAACATGCTTAGCATGTTCCTCCCTTTGTTTCCTCCCTTTGCCTCTGGCCAACAGGACTGGCCCATAACATTTTGTTGCCTGAGGTGGAAGGGTGTGAACAGTTAGAAAAAGATAATGGCTGCCTAGCAATTAAAGAGCAGCATATTGTGGACTTCTCTGAGCAGATGACTTCTGTAGGTCCACTGAAGGATTCCCCT